CGGTTTGTCAGGGAGCTCACCAAGTGTCAGAAAACACAACCCTCTCTCTTTTCCTCCATACCCAAATCTCTAAAAACGGGCTGCAACGGATCTGATATAGACTGATACAGATTTGAAAATTCTCTGACGTCAGAAACGAGGAGCTCCGCCTATATGGGCAACTCTCCACCTATCAGGAGGAGACAGCCACGGCCATTGCCGTTCGAAAGCGCTGGAGACGCTGTAGTACATATGCCAGGCCTGTAGGTGGCGCTGTAATCTCTGCCACAAAAGCAGCGAAGAAGACTTCTCACAGAATCAGCCCTTGGCTAAAAAAGAGCAAATAGAGCAAAATGAGGCATGGCTAAAATGCATGATCTGTTTGGTATTTGGAAAAAAAAGACATGTTTTATAGGTATGGCCCTACAATATATGTTTCAAATATAGCATGATAGGTCCACTTTAAGTTATTCCTACTTGCAAATTGTGTTTTTATAAATGTGTTTTAAGAACTTGAATACGATTTTAGGGGTTTCAGTCGGCCTCTATTTCAGTGTTTGAAAAACGTATAATTTTTTTTAATTTAAAAGTATTTCTTACATATTGAAGATTTAGTTGGTCCAGTACAATTATAATGTCAAGACCATTTGCCTGTTTTGCTGCCTTTTGTTTAAATATGCCATTTATTTATCGTTATGTGTTAACCTCTTTGCAGGTGAGGAGGAAGAGTGTGTGATTGAGGGATGGGACTGCACCTTCCCTAGCCAGCCTATAGCTGTTCCCCCCAGCAAGAATACAGAGGACCTCTGTAAGTGAGAGTATTACTAATCAGAATGAAATGTGGCATCCTCATATATTCTAAATACAAAGCCATCATACAGCCCCTAATGTTTCTTCATATGTACACATGTGTCTTCTCTATTCAGGCCCCCTGCTCTTTGGCTTCTTCACCTTCTATGCTAATTTCGATTTTGCCGGTAGTGTCATATCTGTCCGGAAAGGCTGTGCACTCCCAATCGCTGATTTCCTCAGCCAAAATAAAGCGGAGGAGGCCATGCAGGAGGAAAAACCCACCAAGACCCAACCCCACGGCCCCAAACTGGGCCCACTGAATCTCTTAGACCCCTTTGAACTCTCCCACAACGTAGCTGGAAACATGACCGAACGCTCTCACCGCAGCTTTCTGAGAGAGTGCCAGGACGCTGACAAGTACTGCCGCAGCCTGCAGTACCAGCGCAAATCCATCAAGGGGAAATCATGGGGGCTGGTGCGCTTGTTTACCCCCCATGGGGATGCCCCGCGGGCCAAAACAGAGCAGCTGACCATCAGCATCTCCTTCAAGTTAGCGTCGCTACCCGAAACGCTGAGGAATGAGCTGCACATGGCGGGAGATGGTTTCCGTTTGCTGTGGTTTCAGAAGGTCTGCTCTGCCGTGGAGGGAGTCTTTAAAAATGTTCTCAGGTGTGACATCGCTCCCTCCACAGACGCCGTCTTCGGTCAGGATTCAGTGGTCGATGCCGCCGGGGAAATGGAAACGTCCCTCAACACGTCAACAAACGACAGCTTTGACAGCTCTGAATCCCAAGATACGGCTGTGGTCGGTGCCAAGAGGCGGCTGTCCTCTGGCAGCGAAGCATCTGCGTCTCCTCAAGGCAAAAAACCAAGAATGACCAAAATGCAAAAGCCCGAGCTCCCTCACTGGATCTGCGCGCATAAGCACATGGTGTGGGCCGGCCGGAGGAGAGTGAGGAGAGAGCTGATCAAAGATACTGACTGCAGGCCGGAGGGCAGCTGCATGGAGATGGAGGCGCAGGTCACAGATCACATCATCGAGAAAGAGCCCGAGCTCAAGGAGACCCTGGAGTTCAAGGTGCAGCCGCAGATGGTGGGCGAGACGGAGAGCACGAAGACGGTGCTGACGTTGGAGCCAACCAGCGACAAGACGGGAGTGTTTCACGACTTATTTCACTTCCTGGAAATCTTCTTACCTAAGATGGTAGAGACACTGCTAGAGAAAGAAGCAAGTGGAGCGTAAAACAAGACATGTTTAGGATGTGTCTCCAATTTAAGTCTAAGAATGTTCTTTATTTGTTTTGAATCAATTTAATGCTACGAATATTAACCCTTAAGAGAGATGAAAGATTATTATGTGGCTTTTCGTTGGCACTTAAGTTGGCTATTTTATTTGTGAATGTGGGCTTCTTCAGAATATCAAGTTTGTAATATTTTCCTATATATTTGTACTTTTTTGCGTTTAGTATAAGATATCCTGACTTAGCCCTACTTTTATGTTTGAGACGTGGCTTGTTTTTTGTGCAGTTCTGTACAAAAATAATTATCTTAAATGATAAATCTTTAAAAGGATATTCAGTGGCTGACATTTGATGCTGTCTTCAAATGAATAAAAAAATATTTGTATAACGCCACCTTCAGTAATGTGTCCATTTATTTTCACACTATCTTTAAACAGTATTTTTCCATAAAGAATCAGTAATTGAGCTGTTCTTAGATCCACCTCGAGCCAGAAGGGGGCCATTAAGTGAAGCTCAGGTCTTTGCTCATATGCCCGAGACAGACGAGAGTAATTACTCATGCAGGCAGACCGCTTTATTACAGCAGGATGAGGAGCCGAGGGAGGCGCAGGGCTCCCGTGTGCTGATTAACATCATTCATCTCGCTTTTAAAGGGAAATGGAGATGGCCACAGGTTAGATGTGGGCCTGTGGAGACGGCTGTGATGATGAAGATGTTTGAGATGGCTTACAACATGTTGTGCAGGATTGCTTTACAGCTGGGATGTTTGTTCTGGCCATGGTGTAAATAAATACAACTGTGGTATAAGGACTGAAAACATTTGTGGTCCAGCAGAAATCACAATCTGTTCTTTAGATAATAGAAGAAAAAAAGCCAAATCAAACAAGCTGTTTAGTTGGTTTTTTTAAAGTATATATTGTCCCATAATCTTATTTGCTATAATAAGAAAGGCACATTTTGCATTATGACTACTTGAATATCATCAAAATATTGATTTTAAGCCAAACTACAGCATGACTCTGGGTATGGGAATGCTAGTCTGGTCATTGGTTCAGTTTAATATCTCAATTTGATGGATTTTCTTGAAAAGGTATCCCAAAATTGATATGTTTTATTTTGGTATCCCCCCTTAATTTTCCTTCTGGTAGACCAACACGTTTTCATCTATGCTCCTTTAGATCAATTAGTATATGCATCAGGCTGGCATCAGCACCAAATTCGGGATTCTTTGGTGATCCCCTGACTTCCTATCGCACCGCCACAAGCTTCCAATTCTTGGTTTTGAGTGAAATATCTCCACAACTATTGGTTGGATTGTTTTTCTCCTTGTTTTCCTGTTTGCTGAAACACTGCCCGTTCTCCTGGGTATTTTCTCTTCGGATGTTTGGATGGCACATCACTTGAACATCAGTCATTGTCTTTCAGCGACACTCCTGGCTCCTCCAATATCACCATCCCTCGATATTGGCTTTTTGAGCACCTCAAAGCCTGAGGATCAATGTGATTTACAACAAGGAGGTGGGGTTGCTTTTGTGTAATTGGTGTCCATTGGGAAGAGATCCTGAGTCAACACCTCTAAGACGTGAAATCTCAAAAGCTTGAGGCCAATATGAACAGATTACAGCTTGTTCCTTATCTGTTATGACGCATGAATACAGTCCCATTGAGTTGGACGTCATCTGGTTTTGTAAAGCTGTACATTTAAGGCATATCTAGTCATGGTGAGTAAGACTTTGATTTGGTCTTGTTTCATTGTGATACAGAAATAGCACTTTGGCTTTCTTAATTTATAGTAGCGGCTTTGAGAGTATGCTCTGAATCAAATCATCGACCTTTTCCCCGAGCCCTCAGACACCTGTATCGCCATCCGTCAGAATTACCTGAAGCTGCCACTGCAAGCCCTCATAAACACATCAGTCGGTGAGATATTGCTGTAATTGGTGGGCTCTGCTTTCCAGAAAAAGACTTCGATTAACTAGAGGGGGGCGGGGGGCAATAACAGAAGGCATTGCTGTTTTGGATGCTAAATGAGAAGCCCTGACTTGTTCCCCCAGAGGACCGACTGCTCCATGCCCCACAGCCATATCTGAGATAGTGTGTAACATGAAACTTAAAGAGAGATATGTTATTGTTTGCTGCCCGGCACTCCTTTTAGAGCCATTTATGTGGTCATGAATTACAGCATTGTGGTAGTGGGCAGCCCATCTTCCCCTCCATTTTGTCTCCTGAGCTGTGCAAAGAGACCTGGCCGCATGGAAAGCACTCTGTTCATATAAGTGGCTCCCCTCACTCTGGAGATAAGGCGAAATGTAAAAAAAAAAAAAAAGAAGCATAATAATTTCCCTCTTTGTCCGTGACGGCAGGAAGGGGTCCGACCTTCTCCCGGTTGATTGCTTGTACACACAGATTTGACTTTTATAAGCATGTTTGTGCAATCTTCCTTTTTGTACTTGAACTAGTCATGCAAATGGAAATGGGGAAGTCATGGCAAAGGGAAAAGCTTTTAGAGCTCCATTTGTACAGGTAGATTCCTACAGTAAGTAGATTTATATCAAATGTCTACGTACATCTTCATCCTGCTTCATAAGGAAAAAGTTTGTAAAAGTGGACAAGATGAGAGAAAAAGTTTACTCGCCGTATTATCTTTGATGGCCTTTCCTCTCCGTGGGGGCCCGAGTGGCTCCTCGGGAGTGCGGAGTGCATTAGCTTTGGTTATTGCACCGTGAAAACCTTAACTATCTGTCCTTTCTCTTATCTAACGGCGGCTACTTTCTCACTGTTTACCTGCAAACACTGGAGCCAGCTAATGAGTTTGTCTTGTGCATATTGTTATTTCTTGTCATTGACTTTTACAGGCCGTAAAGTGAAGGCAGAGAGGTGGATTACTGGAGTAGAATTAACTAAATGTTCACGATGGCCACCGTTAACTGTGCGGAATGGGTGATAGCGAGGAAGAGGACACATCAATTCCCTCGAATGGTCGATGGTTTATTCCCTATTTAATCATTATTGAGCCATTCCCCTTGTTTATTCCAACTCATCAGATTGTTAAAAGCCATGATATTACAATTGAAGGTCCATTGTGCATCAATTTGGATGTCAAAAACACTTGAGCACACTAATCGTCCCCCATTATGAGTTTGAATTATGGTACAATAATTACAGCCAGCACAATCAATGTGTAATGCCACACTCCACTTACAGCGTTTATGGCATGCTCATATACACTTTAACTGCTTGTTTAGTGTACGGTGGCTGTCAGTGGGGATTGATGTCCAAATCAAGTTGTGTTTTTGACCAGGGTTTAGGGACTGACAAAGAAAAAGCCATAGTTGTTTACAACTCTATAAACAACATGTCATGACTTCCCCAGAGAGTGCGGCAGGACAACATGTAGGTTGTTATATGGAAGCATGATCCATGATCAAATACTGATCTAATACAGCAGGGTTTCAAATACATTGTTTTTTTAGCTTAACATCTGGCAAACAATCCCATCTCTATCCTGTGTGCAAACATAAAGCACAGGGGCAGGAACCCTTTAGCATGTGCACGGTAAAAAGTCAACACTGGCTCCCGATAAGGGATGGCTTCAGGCGTCATTAACTGAACAGCAGACCGTGAAGATTGGAGATAAACGGAAGCCGCTGCAACGGTCATAAATGTGACCGATTACATTAGACTTAGCCTCAGCACTTGAGACCTGAAAGGTATTTATGTACACATTGTCTTTGTGCGAGTGTATTAGTGTCGTCAGCACACATACACACTTAAATCTCCGTTCTGATATGGATTTGAAAAGTTGTACAAGAATAAGTATGGAAGAGGATTAGGGCCACATGAGAAAAATGCTGTGACCAAAAGTAAAAGTCTGATTTCTGACTTTAATCTCAGAACAAATCACTTTTGGTCAGATCTCTAAAATGTTCACGTATGGCCCTAATCGTCTTCCGTAAATAAGGATCGGATCGCTTCTTTGTGAAAGTTTCTCCATTTTAGAACCAAATAAATAAGGTAAAAGAATAACTTGATCAACTAATACTTCGATAAATCATTTATTGCAGTTAAAATTAATTTCCCTAAAGCATACTGAAGCTATGTTTCACACAGAAGCATTATTGATCTGTGGCTGCTGTAGCTGACCTCTACTTCCAGCACATATTAATGGCTTCAGCTCCGTGTGAATAATGCATGCAGCAGTGATGAGAGCAGAGAAGGCTGTAGGTGCTAATGATTGGACAGGATAGGCTACATCGCTCCTGATTACAATACATTTCATATTAATGAATTAACAGTAATTAATTGACATTTAGGAAACAGTTATAAATTAACTTATTGGAGGTCACACGTACATCAATATCCAATATCCTCAGTATCTGAAGATGAATGTGTTTGTGCCTTAACTACATGCACAGAATAGACAACAGTCAATAAAACAATTAAATACGTTCGATTACCGTCCACTGCAACACATTCATTAAAGGAGGGAGTTGAGGGTCTCTAAATAGGGTGCTGCATTGTGTACTTACATGACATTGATTTGCTCAGTATTCCTGGTGGTATCAAGTCATGTAAGTACACCATGCAGCACCTTATTTAGAGACCCTCAACTCACTCCATTAAAATATAAATGCATATTAAATAAATGTATATAAGCTTTTGAAGCTGATGCTAATATCATCATCAAGTTAATACCATGTGTAAAGGTCTCTTCTTAAGTTTTAGATATTCTTGACAAAATGCTGAAATCCTGAGAAAATATCTTTCAACAGAATAAGTGATATGTTGTTGTATGTTAGCAGGGTTAGTCATCCCGTCTTTCTCCAAAGAGGCCCTTATTTCAAATGTCAAGGCTCAGTTGTATTGTTTTCTGGTTATTCGTTTTTATATGATTCATGAACCTGCCTGTTGAGAGACTTCAGTGCAGGTAAGTGCAGCTTAGTGTCTTTTCTATTGGAAAAATGTTGTGCTTTCCACAATGTATTCTTTTAGTTGCATATCTCTCTCACATACAAGTATTTTTAGCAAACACAAACATTTCTGCTGATGCTCTTGATTGTTATTACACATGTTGGGTGAAGTCAAGAAAGGCAAACAAGGCCCCCCAAAACATGTTAGGGGGGCTCATTTATGGTACAATATAGGAACTTGGCTCTGTTAGTGGTCCTTATTCCGAATGCAGAAAAAAAAACCTTAGATTTCTGTTTATCTATTTAATTTAAATTTAAATTTATCATGCATTGGTGACATTACAAAGTGCAAATTGNATATGATTCATGAACCTGCCTGTTGAGAGACTTCAGTGCAGGTAAGTGCAGCTTAGTGTCTTTTCTATTGGAAAAATGTTGTGCTTTCCACAATGTATTCTTTTAGTTGCATATCTCTCTCACATACAAGTATTTTTAGCAAACACAAACATTTCTGCTGATGCTCTTGATTGTTATTTCACATGTTGGGTGGAGTCAAGAAAGGCAAACAAGGCCCCCCAAAACATGTTAGAAAAAGGCCACTCAAATTGGCACATTTCGCAAAGATAACTTTAAAAACGACTTTAAACTCCTTTCCTTTTCAAAACTTCCCATAAAGACACTATGTTATATACTTTTAAAACCCTAAGTGTGTATTCAGCAAGCGACAGAACGTTAACTGTAACTATCCCAAATGGTCACATACAATGGCCTTCTTCCCCCTGGGCCCCCATAAAGTCTGAGATCGCCACTGTGTATCATCATGCTTACTCCATTTTAACCTATAGGGCCAATGATTTTGACCACAGGGGGGGGGGGCTCATTTATGGTAAAATATAGGAACTTGGCTCTGTTAGTGGTCCTTATTCAGAATGCAGAAAAAAACACCTTAGATTTCTGTTTATCTATTTAATTTAAATTTTAATTTATCATGCATTGGTGATATTACAAAGTGCAAATTGCACAGTGAAGTATTCATAATTTCCCCTGTCTAATCGCATCAAAATAAACTTTATAATTCAGCAAAGAGTCAAATACTCAAACCAAATCCAACACATGAAGACTACTTTAAATATTTACAAGAGATAAGTTTCCCCTTTACGCGCTGCTGCCTAAGGGGGTGTGGTTAAGTGTCACAGTGCGCATCAGGTGTCCATCTCCGCTATATATACGATCCTGTGATCTGAGGAGAGCAGCAACACAGGGACACCACCCAGGAGACTAAATCAGGAGAAAACTGTCACAAAGTAAGTGTTCTTACTTTAATAAGAGTTTAAGTTGTATCCTAGATCTACAAAGATTTTTGCGCACGTCAATATAATGTTTTATACATATTTTTCAAGGGAAATTACACCGTGTTGTCTTGTTTCTCCTCAGATGGCCAACATGATGAGATCGTGGATGATGCCTGCAGCTGTGGTCCTCTGCCTGCTGGTGTGTCTGAGCAGCTTTGCCGACGCTTACCCCCCCAAACCGGAGAGCCCGGGGAGCGACGCCTCACCGGAGGACTGGGCCAAATACCACTCAGCGGTCCGGCATTATGTCAACCTCATCACCAGGCAGAGGTGAGACATGCTCAATGCTTTAGATTTAATGTTTAAATCATTTTTTTTGATAATAAAATTGTATTTATTTTGTCAAAATCCTGAACTTGATAGAAACGATTTATGAAATAGTTGGTTAGATAGTAAAATAGTCAGGCTATTACAATGAAAACAAGACGTAAAATAGAATGAGTGTGAAAGAAAGAATATTAAAGGGGGGGAGGTTGTCATGATATGATGCCTTGAGAGCCATACAAAAACGTATTAATCATAGAAATATATATTTTACGCACAGTGTTGCTGACTAGGTATTGTTTACATTCATAAAGTGAAGAAAGTCTGATGTCACTTTGATGTGATCCAGCAGTGGTTGCCATACAGTACTCTCATCAAGCTGCTCTCAATTCCTTTTATGTTTGTGTTTGAACCTAAAGTACTAGCACTGAGTTATGGATGCGTATTATTTTCCCGGATTTAATTCATTAGTATGCCTTCTGTTGCTGGGAAGAGACGTTTATTTAACAGCTCCGAACTTGTATAGTCCTCCTGCTCTGGGTGGCAGTCCCAAAAAGATCACCCTATTCTTCTACTATTTATCTAACTAGAGAATGCACATATAAGTGAGTATAATGAACTCTTCAATCAACAGTTCCATCACCTTGAAAAAACTGGCAAATGTGTAAAACTTGCAGTAGTTTGGTGTCTTCTCGTCCTGTGGTCGGGGCAGACAGGTAGTCCACCTTCTGTGATGTGAGGGATTAAGTCTCTGACTCAAGGACGAGTTGCAAGGAGAGCCACAGGGGGGCGAGCCCTCATGTTGGGGCACAACATTCAGTCTGATAAGACTTGTTTCTCACTCAAAATCAAGATCATCCCTGAACAAAAAAAGTCCACAAATGTAGAGATTTCAACGATGGCACCGTTAAATATATGAAGTAAAGAGCTAAATCTTAGTTAGTTCACTAATAAACAGTAATGTTTCATTATTGTTCATGTATTTTTTTTTAATCTGAATTTTAGTTGTGTAAGTAAAACAACATTTCAGATGCTAGACAAGAGTTCATCTTCTTCGGTGAGCTGAGAAGGACTTTCTGTTCATTACGCTTACCATACGATGCATTATTGTGCTTAAGAAATCATTAGGGAGAGGAAAGGAGCCTGGTATTCCTCAGTTTTGATTCCAAATCTTGTTAGGACATGCTTCAACATGAGACCCTGATCATGTTCTTACTAGGTTTAAAATGATTTAATAGTGAAATTGTAGGTTTTCTACACATTTCATCCAAGTTTTCACTGAGGTCTTATTTGGCATGCCTTAAATATGACAGATAGTAATAGTATATTACTGGTAACAGTTTTGATCAGTAACTGTTATTAAATACACTATCCCTGCTCTATGGCACATTTTCCTGTGCTGGAAGCTGAGGATAGTCTCACCATTTCCCCCCCTGGTCTGCAATGAAAGAGGCTGTAGCTGTCACTGCACTCTCATGCCTCAAACAAATCCATGTTTATTATTCCCCGACTGGCCAGGCATTGATTTTTACTAAAGACACTTCGAAAGACAAAGTCGAAGGAGCTTGTTGTTTTTGCCTCGCTGGATGCTCAGTTTGAACTTGAACATTCCTTATCTTTCAAGTAATTGCTCCACAGACATGTGAGTGAGTAGAAAACCAGTCCTTAAAAAACTCAATAGTGTGTGTGTGCAGCTAACACACAGCTTGAGGGTTCTTGAGAAAACCCAGTAGTTGAATTGAATTGCCAGGCTGAAGGAGGTCACACTGACAGAGCACCCTGCAGTGACATGCTGACTGAGGGACTGCTGGTGGAAAGCAGAGAAGGGGCCTTCACATGAATGAGAATCTCCAAATAAGATTGAGTTGCAGTCATTACATGCTGGTGTTGGATTTGTCTCCAGGTATGGGAAGAGGGCGACCCCCGAGCAGGCGGTGGCGTGGCTGCTGCTTGGAGCCGATTCGAGCCAGGACGCTGAACCACGGTGAGAATTCAACACATTAAAGGATTCAAAGGTTTTTCTGTCATATCATATGCATGAAAGCTAATGTGTAATAGTTGGCCATGAACATCTTAATAATAAGTCAAAGATATAATGGTGCAGGTTGAATGCAGGCATTTGTAACCATACATGTCTGGTTCAATCATATTGTTTTTTAAAGGCTAATACTGATACAAGTGAAATAGTACCACATAGCTATTGTGATGCATTCTGTGTACACTAATCATTTAGAGTAGGGGTCAGCAACCTTTAAAAATAGCTGTTATTTATTTATATATTACTTTTTGTCAAAGCCACATGGAGCCAGTGCAGAGAACTCAAGAGCCGTGTTTTTTTTTCTACCTCTGATTTAGAGTGTAAAAACATGTATTGCCCTCTTTAAATAAAAACATATTACAACGTAGGCCTGCCAATACTGCTCCAATATATGGTCAAATTGTTTTATTGCCGTACGCCTCACTGCAGCAGGATTACCTCGCTGTTTATGGTCTTGTTCTTGAGATCCTTGTCAATATTTCATACTTAAAGTGAGTATTGATTAGCATGTTCTCTCACTGTGGAGTTATTGGTCAGTTGAGCTGGTAATCCACCATATATTAGGCCGTAGTAAGTGTGTGAATTGTAATTAAGTAACGTCCTTTTCCCTTCCATTACAGCTCTGAGTACGGCGATCAGTGGTAAATGATCTTGATGTCAAACCTGACCGACATTATCCCCGATCCTTTGATTCACCCGCACTCACTGAGATTGTCAACCTGCATTGGACTTTGTGACTTTCCATATTGAATGATTTATTGTGCATGCAAATCTCTCTCTCTCTCTCTCTCTCTCCCTCTCTCCGTCTCCTCTCTTTGTCTTCTTCTCTCAGTATATCTATTTGTTTTTTGCCCCAAAAAATGTAAATAATTTGTATCAAAAATGTCTTTATGATGAATAATTCAATTCAATAAATTAGTCTTGGACACCAACGCTTTGGTATTTCGTTTTTCTTTATTTAACCCTCCTGTTATGTTCGGGTCAAATCTGACCAATTTACTACTTTCATCAATCATAAATATTGTGTTTTAAATTTGACTGCTTCAAGGCATTGTGATATCCTCCACAGTAGGGATTTACACATAAAAGCAAGTATTGCACATAATTAGAAATAAAAAGGGTAGACAATAAAAAATTATACAATAAAACTAAACTAAAAGAGGTGAAAATATTTTGTTTAAGTTGACCGAGAAGAAAAAATATGTTAACTATCTGACAAATAAAACACTATTGAAGAGCCAATTAAAAAGTGGTAGTTATTTACATTTAGTGTGCATATGAATAGGAAATGAATGGGTAACCTTAAATGATGTTCATGCATCACATCAGATAGTAAACAAACACCCACAAATCGACCAAAAGTGAATTTTGGAATAATCAGAATACATTTTTTTTAAATGTCTATTCTTTGTATATTCATTACCGTTATTCATGTAAACCAGTAGTCTGAGACATTGTTTACAGTTTAAAAGGATGGTAAATAAAATGTGGTTATGATTAATGTGTTTTGTGTTAATGTAAGAGCATTAAAACGAACACGACAGGAGGGATAAACAATTACTGCAGTTGCTCTTGTTGCCACTAGATGTCACTGTATCACAAAGAAAGGCACCTTTACAAGTCGGTATATGTTATTTCTGCTCTTCACGTCGACGGCAGCTTCAACTTCACACCGGGGTAGCACACAATAAGACGCATTTATCTTATCAGATTTACCCGGACACCTTTTGGGAATCATCAGCAGTTCTAATTGGCTTTTAATCAATGGGGCTATTTGCGTGAGCACGCTTTTCGGTAAGGTCTCGTGTAAGATTGTGTGGGTTGGCGCTGTGAAAGTGACTGCATAGATTAAACAAGAACCTGTCGTGCTTCTACAACTGCGAGGAGACTGGTGGAGATTTACCGAGCATCTCGCTGCATATCAGACCGAAGAGGCATCCGGAGAAAGGTGACCGGGGGCAGGTGAGCGCCTTTACCTTTGTCTTACACCGAGGAAACGTGGGGTTTAGATTTGGTTAGCATTATTAACGCCGTTTTTCACCTTCGCCAGGTGGTTAGTGGTACACGCAGTTAGATATATGTCAATGTCTCCTGTGAAAGTAAGGGCTCCCAAAGAGATAAAAGCTAATACCATTTTAAATTACGTAAAAATACACATTTTGTAGCAGTTTTACTCACATTCAGCGTGAATAAGATACAGATTACCTCCAGCATGGGCTTTGCCTCTAACATTAGCCACATGCATTTTATTAACCTAGCTTAATTGGCCTCAGGCTATTTGCACCTGTTCAACGGCCACAGGTGAAACCAATCAGCTTAAACAGTCTTACGCTGAAATATTATTATTAACACTTAAACTGGGAAATGAATTGAAGGAATAATAATTGGTAACAATATTGGATGGACGTCATGTACCTGTCCATTGCCATTGCGCATGCCCACACACACGGGGACGTGCACAGATGATCTGTTTCTGACATGAAGGCAGATACACATTTATAATGGGAGTAAGATTTACCCTTCTTCAAAAGTAAGCTTATTTTTAGACTGTATGCCACAGATGTGTGTACTAGGAGAGTCCAAGTAGCAAGGATATGGTTGACAAATAATTATTTAAATATTCTGAATTTATTCAAATACATTTGTGCTTGACGTGTTTTTCATACTAGATATAATCCTAAACGTAATCATTTGAATGCTTACAACCATCCAGTATGTTTTGCATTTTTATCCCCTTTTTGAAAAATATGATTACTCTCTTACAATACTTTACCATCATCCATTACACAGCGTCTAACACTATAAGGAGCAGAATGCTATGTAAGCAAAAATGATAATCCAATATACATAATTGAAAACGCCTACCCTTCATCTCTATCAAGAGCTACAGTTACATTTATGGCACAACACACTTCTTCATTTATGAGATGAAAATGTATATACCAGGATTTCCATCACTTTTACTGTTTAAGTTACAGCCACTTCAATAAGAGTACAATCAACTGCAAATAATCCATTTTGTTCAAACGCCTATGAGATTGTCTTTTTCTATCATGTGCTCTTCTGTCGCGCTGTGAAGACATTGTATTACTGCAGAGGAAGTATTCAAATGGGCAAGAAATAAGTTATTGTATTGTCGGTCTAGTTATAAAGATCAATTTGTGACTGTACTGTTTGTTGTTCTGAATTATTCTGAAAGGGACATTTGGAGAGACATTACCATAACATGAATTGAGTATACTTGCGTATTTATTTAATTATTTAAAGCCTAAGAATGGGGCTGTAGTATTTGAGTCCAGTTCTCTGTCTCCAGTCCTTTTTGTGGAAGTCATGGATTTGTCTTGGAGACGTGCTTTGTTTGCTTTGGCTGTGATATGTTTAACGTTCCTACATTTGCAATTTAAACCTTGATTAAGTTTGACTTGGCAATAGACCTAATCAACAAGCTACTTTTTAAATGTAAGAAATTGAGGACAACTTTGTGTACTGATAAAGTCCAGATAACAATATTGTTGGTTTCGAGCAGTTTAACTGATTTAGGTTAAAGGAAATTGTACTAAAGTCACTTGTATATATTATTCATATCAAACCACAGTCGAATACGCCTTACTTTAAAAAGCTTTTGACTGGGATTAAAGAAACTCTCGCCCTATTATCTTTGACAGCTTTGGGATCTGGGTCAAGATCAGCAGGTCTGGTTCAGAGACATTGTGAAAGTACTTCTTTAACGATTAAAGAACCCCTGAAGTTGGACTCTTTTTATTTTGGAAATAATCTTTAACTCAGGGAGATTTGATTACATTTCGTAAAAGACCTTAAATTAGATCAAATTTAGAACAGAAAGGGGAGGAATGTGATTCAGGCCATGTAACAACGGCATGTTTTAACCTCTTCATGTGAGACATTTAATGAATTAACTAAAATAAACTTGGAAACATTCAAAGACATGTCCCTGTGTGACCCTGATCCTTGATCTGAGGAAGTCAGAGCCTCCTGGTTGTTTGACGTCACACACTGAACACTTTAAATAAGACCTTCTTTAATCCACACTGTGTAGTAGGGGTTTCACAACTAGCAATATTTACTAGTCGACACATTTTTCAAAATAGTAGTCAACTAGTCGTTACGTCATAATAAAGACACACAAAGAGAGGTGTACAACTGTATTTTATATTGGAACTCATACAGTAACATTAAACACTGCATTTTAATTTGTGTTANGAAAGCGCTGGAGACGCTGTAGTATATATGCCAGGCCTGTAGGTGGCGCTGTAGTCTGCCACAAAAGCAGCAAAGAAGAC